CACGCAAATGTGCGTCAAGGAAGGCCATGTCATAAAGAGAGACGACACGTATTTACGACGCTCATTTACGACGCGCAATTACGACGCGCGTTTACGACACGTAATGAGTATCAAGGAAGGCCTTGTCATAAACAAAGACGACACGCATTCGCGTGTCGTAACCTTATGATGCGCGTGTTAATGACACGCAATGCGTATCAAGAAAGCTCCTGTCAAGAAAGGCCATGTCATAAATGAAGATGACACACCTTTTTGCGCATCATAATTTTAAATGTTTAAAAAAACATTATTTATAGATTTACTAATTTTCAAATTAAATTTGTATTTAATGTCTCATAATAGAAATAAAATACCATATACAAAAAATACAATCCATTGCATAAAGTTTAATGTCATATAATTCTATTTCTTACAATATATAAATTTGTTTCATACTAACAGTTGAAATGAAGAATGAAACACTTGCATTTGCAGCATCTTATCTCTTTCAGCTTGAGCTTTTTTCCTCTTCTAACTCTAGAGCTATTCGCTTTCATCATCAACCTTGCAATCATGTCAGTTGTACAATATCAATATCAACTAATTAATAATGCACATGGTATGTATGTATGTATGAGAGTGGAATCAAAATGATCTACCAATAAGTGTTTTGTACTGCCTTGAATCAAAGTATTTTTGGTGGCTTCAAGTACAGCTCCCAAAGGATACTCCTTCATATACCCACCTGCATATATGCAAATATACATGTACAATATTGAGTATGTTATGGGAAAATTGCTGAAAATAGCAACATACTTTCAATATTGGTAAAGGGGTAAAATATTAATTTGTGGAGTATATTATGGGGCATTGTGATTTTATATATACCTAATACTACAAACTATCATCATCTTTAATTACAACTTGTTTAATTGGTTGAAATGTGTAATTTGTGTCAAGTGTTTAAATTAATAAAAAAATACTCTATATAAATTAGTAAATATATAAAACAATCTTATATGAATTGACAAAAAAAATGAATCTTTATCTTTTATCTAAAACTTTAAGTGATGTCATGAAATGAGATAATCGATTATTGATTATAATAGTAAATATTTTGGTCTTTAAGTAATATATGATTATACATTTCGTCTAAGCTGCCGTTTTTACAAAAATTATAAAAATAAAATAAAGATTAAATAAACAAACATTAATTTGAAAAGAGAAAATATACCCATGAAAAAAAAAGGAAACAGATGCTTGAGTGGGTGTCCAAAAGAGAGGAACATTTGTCACCTGAAACCAAACCCCTTTTCCACACCAATAGCAAATGGCAAAGTGGAAGGGTAAACTTATATCTCTATTCCATGATAAAAAAAAAAACAACCACATGGAAATCTGAAAAAAGATAAAACCATAAATAAAAATAAACCCAATCTGGCACAAGACTTTTGGAGCAGTAGCACATATGAAATGGACAACAATGATAATAAAAAAAACGAGTTTTGGTGTTGGGTTGAAAAAGTATGAAGTTCTTCTAGACGATAAACCAAAAGAATTCACTAAATAAACTTCTATATAATAAAAGAAGTAAAATTAATTATACCCTGTCATTTGGAGGTGCTGCATACCCATAATGAAGAATGGAGGAGTGCATCAACTAGAAGAAGTAGAAGAACATAAATAGCTCCTATTCATGAAAAAAAAACATTTGTACCCTTTGGTATCTTTTAGAAATCAACAAAGGAGTGCAACAACACTTACAATAAGAAATCAGCATCAATTGCAGCAACAATTGCAGGAATCAGATTACACTGTAATGCTTGATTCCATTCCATATTTGATTACTGCATACCAAACACACTACCTTATTTAAAGTAACTATGACAGACTCATCACTTCACTCGGTAAAAATTGTACACAAAACCAAAAAGCTCTCTTACTTCATCTGAACTGTCTTCTAAATCAGACGCATCACTTCACTTGGCTTTCTTGGTGGCTGCAGCAGTACCATTCTTGGCAACAGCAGCTGGCTTTTTTTGGCGCCTCCTAAATTACATAGAAGAATACTTAGAAAAGTGGAGAACAACATGTATCATGTAGAGAATGCTGCTAAAAAGTGAAAAAATTAATGTGAAATTAGACAAACTGTATCCAAGTGCCAAGAGATTTACACTCTGACTCACTTCTTCATCTGATGAATCACTATCATTCGATGATTCATATTCAAATTCAGATTCATCTGAACTACTTACAGGTTTACTAACAGGTTTTTTATTCGATCCAATTTTAGCTGTAGGAGCGGACTGTTTCTTAGGTTTAGGTTCCTGCAAGATGTTAAAAATGCTTGTAGAAGGGTGAAGAATAAAATAAACGAATTTTTTACAACATGTGATAATGACTTCATATTCAACTTCCCTTAGCTGATCAATGGCCTCTGATATCTCTTCTTTTAAGTTCTAATTCAGACAAACATAACAGGAGAGAAAATAGACAGCATTAAAAAAAATCTAAAAAAGTTCAAATTTTTAATAAAAACCTACCATTTATCACCCCAAGTTATGCACGAAGGTCAGAAACTTGTCCATCTCTTGTCTGTTGTGAAGCTTTTAGATCACCTATGCATTCAAGATTCTTTTGGTGTCCAAAAATCAGATCACCTATGTATGTATCTCAAATAGAAACCTACTTTCATATCTTTTTATTATTTTTTTCTTAAGTATAAAACGTATGAATCAAAAGCACATGGAATAAGTTATCTCACCGCACAATGTACGACAACAGGTGCCCATTGACTTTCAACACCTAACATTAGTATATGTTCCAAAACATTTCCCTACAAATAATAGATGAAAAGAAACTGAGTCGTGATGATGCATAAAGTCTAGAGTTTTATATTTATGAAAATAAATAGAAGATTTAAAAAAACACAAGTTTTTTATGCAAATAAATAAAAAAATGAATTGTTAAAACTTAAAAGATAGGGATATAAAAGTTACCTCATTCCAGTCCAAACAGTCGATAGCTTTGACACATTGATTTTCCTCATTTAACCTTTTTTTAGCGTTCCTAAAAGCTCGCATCATCACCATTGGTTCCCAGCTAAGTCCACATGTCTTTTTTAGGACATTTTTAACCACAACTGGTTCGCCTCTTCTCCAATGCATTTGAAAATGTTCAAAATCTTTGTCTTCTAAGTCAATAGCATCAGGGCAATATAGTAAATTGTTGTCATTACTACTACTACTACCCTCCCTAGAAGCCGATTTCCTTACACCACGTCTATGATGATGATGATTTTCCACACCAATGGCAAATGGCAAAGTGGAAGGGTAAACTTATATCTCTATTCCATGATAAAAAAAAACAGCCACATGGAAATCTGAAAAAAGATAAAACCATAAATAAAAATAAACCCAATCTGGCACAAGACTTTTGGAGCAGTAGCACATATGAAATGGACAGCAACGATAAAAAAAACAAAAAACAAAAAAAAAAAAAAAAAACCGACTTTTGGTGTTGGGTTGAAAAATTATGAAGTTCTTCTAGATGATAAACCAAAAGAGTTTTGGTGTGGTGAACAAATATGTTTTTCCATCTGATACTCTTCATTTCTGGTTTCATTTTCCTCATTACCTACTCCAAAAGTAGTTACTTAATATCACCAAAAGATGAAATCACCATATACAAGCAACTTATAATGTTATAATATGCACTGAGAAATTGAAGATTATTTAGTAATGAGCTAATTTCAGTTTAGTCATTACATAGTGGAATGATAATGATATATACCTCAGTGTGAGCTTCAGAACTTATACCATTGGCATATTGGATCACAGAAAGCTCCAATTTTGACTTCAAAACACGGCATTCAGTCAAACTAGGGTGCATGGTCTTAAGATCTGTCTCAAATTTCTCAATCCCTTGAAGTAGTAAAAAATACAAATATAGTATCACTTACTAAAGTAGCAAAAATAACATATTATTCACACTAACTGTGTATACTTCCTGCAATTTATAGATTGTTTTTGGTATGCTACAACTTAACTTAGTTTTTAAGTTTTTTTAATTGTTATTTTCAAATCAAAGAATAATTTATAAACTAATATTTTCAAATGCTACTTACTTATTTTTTAAGAAATTTAATATTTTATATGGAATTTTTCTATCAGGTATAGACTAGGAAATAACATACAAAATTGACCCAGTGATATCAAATTTTGACTTGTGCTAATGAGCAGGAGGAGCCCTTGGAGCAGATTTCTCAGCCATTCCCACACTAATTTTGTAACCTCTCAATTCATAATCTGATCAAACATTAAAAAAAAAACTAAATTAGACATACCCATAAAATAATTTATATAGTTGAGAAAAGAAGGTACTTTGGTTGTAGAATCCCCCAGCAGAATGTGCTGCAGAAGAATCCCATCAGAATGTGATGCAAGAAGGGACCCGAATTTAGGGTAGGCCCATGCAACCTGCCAGACTGGACCATTGTGACCTGTCAATGTGGTAAGGGGTGTGAGGTGGCGGTGCTGATGGTGGTGGTGACACTGATTATCTTGATGGTGGCATCAGAGGAGGTGGATGCTACTCGTTTTCCATAGTAATCCATACAGACATCATGGATTATGTCTGTATGACCTGTTTCAATCTTCTGCCCAGGCATGATCTGTTGAATTTGAAGAAGATTTGGATCAGTGGATGTGAAAACAAATTGAAGAATTCATATAATCATTAAGTTTGATAGAAGAATAGGTTTAGTGTTATGAAGAAATTGAATGTTCCAAATCTGCTCAAGGATATGGTTGAGAGAAGAGTGTAAACGTAATCATCAAAATTTTCCCCAATTCAAAATTTTGAAAAATGCATTTATAATCAGGACGCTGTTCTTCCCCAATTTCTAAGAATTCATATGCTGCTACACAATTATATACGAAACAAAACTTCTAATCTATGAAATTTCATACCGAGGCAATTAAACATTTCTCAATTCTAAGCCCTAATTATAGATCTCTATTCAAATTCTCCCCTTAGATTGGAAGATCAATATCAAGATCGCCAATTTGGCAAAAGAAATAAAATAGAAGTGTCATATAAAGAAAATTTTCATCAATGATGCTTAGGTTTGAACCATTCATCAGTCTCGTATGTTTTGGTTCCCAAATCAGAAAAATCCCCTTTACAAATAAATAGACTAAAGAAGGAGCACCAGATTTTCGCATCTAACTAAACTATAAACACCGAACTTCAAATAATACCGATTTTATAAATATTTAAGAATGGAATAATGTTAATCCTCTGTACAAGAAGTATATATGTAGAAGTAGAATAGAAAAGAAACAAAGAAGAGGCGAGGAGAGGAGATGACCTAAAATCAGAATCTGCAATTGAAAAAGCATGACGAGAGGCGCTTGTTGTTCAGAACATGTTCATAGTTATAAACTCTGTAATGGAACTATAAATGGTGAAATGAGATCGAGAGGCACTTGTTCGGCCTTAAGATGTCAAGGATATCAGTTGCCTTCTCTAGGAAGTTGGTCCAAAGCCACTCGTACCTCCTCCTCCGAGTTCTGTACCAGAATATACACACAGGCCATTGACTTGAAATTAGGTTTTTGCTCCCGTCGACAATCATAGAGCGCCGGAATCTGATTGTCGTCGGAATGTTATATAAGGATTTCGCAAGGTTTAACAGTGAGGATGGGGTGAGAGAGGTACAAATGGTAATGGTGGATGAAGTGTTGGTCGATAAGGCTTGTACATCGTCGTCGTGCGATGCCTAAAGATTCGGTGTGGGTTGGAGGTGGTGGAGGTGGGTATGAGGCGGGGTTTTAGGGATTCGTTTAATCGAAGAGGATTTTAAGAATTTCAAAAATATGAAAATATCAATTGAGGTCAAAAATATGATTTCAGGAACCTCACAACTAAAAATCGCATATCAGAATCCACACAATGCTTTTAGGGTTTCTTTTGATCGAAGAGAATTTCACAACATACGAAGAAGGAGGAGAGTATCAGACGGGGGTTTTCAATTTTTTGGTAGTTCTCCATGGTTGACTTACTGAAGATGGTGAAGCAGATCGGAGAAGATGGAGAAGGAGGGAGAGGGGAGAATCGATTGTGGAGAGCCGGAGATGAAAGAAGAAAGAAGGTAGAAAAGCGGGTTTTTCAAAATTTTGGGATTTCGTTTCCCCCGATATCTACTAAACACGCTTTTCTTTAAAATTATAAATCGACACTTATAGAGGGCGCGCATTTTTTAGATAAAGTGCCCTCCGTGTTTTTAATTTTTTTACATTAGACACTAATTTAAGGGCACTCAATAATGCGTGATCTAAATCCTTAAATTTTTTAAAGAGATGACATTTTTTTAATGTCACTCTCTTTTGCGTAACATAAATCAATGAGTGTCGTGGTTTGCGCGTCGTTAAAGGGTCTATTTGTCTTGGGAAAGTCAACCGACCATGCTTCCAAGGACGTTCTAGGAGAACCGACCTTCGTTTGCTGCAAAAAGAAAGGGCGTTGGATACAAGTCTGCCCAAAGAGCCTGAAGAGTCCAGAAGATGGGAGAGTCAAAGTGTATGGTTGCGCTTCAGGTAAAATCCACTATCTAACTCTGTTAAGTTCCTATTCATTGATTCTTAATACATGATGTGATAAGATTGCATTTGAATGTTTTGTAGGATCGTGAAAGAAAGGAAGCTTGTGAAAGAGCAAGATGATCTAATCACGAAGAAATGGATCTTGATCGCATGGATTTGAAGATTAGATTTTGAGCTTAGATAGTTATGATAGAGTTGTTAGAAATTTTCCTTTTGAAATACATAGTTTTCAATGGATTTTGCATTGTAAGGACAAATGTTTTCCATTGCTTTTATAAATAAAATAAATTTTCGTTTGACTTATTTATTTGTTTATTTCCTTGCAATGAAATCATTATGAAAATTGGTGTTTGCATATTTCTACAACAAATGGATATGATTCTTATTTATGGTGTTTATGGAAAAGTCGAGAATTTACCAAATAGGGAGAGTTTCTCATCGCCCAAGTTTCAATTGGACAGAAATTTGGAATCATGCAACTTGGTTGCACAAGAATGAGAAATTTCATATTTGGAAATTAGACTAATTCATTGACAAAGTGTCAAGTGAAGGACTAGGAGATCGAGTACACAAAGTTGTGTGTTGATCAAGTTCACCATAAGAGTAACAAAGATATTCGTCATGATTTACTAAAGGTTTAGTAAATATGATTATACTTATAAGATTAAGTGTAATTCTGAATTGATTAAAAAGGTTTAAATCAATAGCAAAACGAATAAGAAGAATCAAGTAGGCAGAAAGATAAAAGTTTCTCCATTCTAAGAAGAAGGGAGAGTACCTTTTATGCTTTATGATAGGTCTTAATGATTAAGAACCATATCTCAATTGATCCTCTAAGTGAGTCTTAGTACAATTGTATGTTAAGAAGAGGAATCAAGAATTGAAGAAATGGTTAAATCAAAAGTCAATCATACTTCGTTCCAATAACAAGTCTTAAAGTTAAGATTGTACAATAAGTGAAAGTATTAAGAAGGTTTATAACATTCATCAAATGTGGAAAGTTGTGATGTCTTGGATAAGACAAAGACCAACTAGGACCAATTTATGAAGTGTTTTGATAAAAGCTACACTAACTCTTGAATATTTGTTTGTCAAGAAATGGTTATTGACAAGAGAATCTTATATGTCAAGGAGTCAGTGGGAGTCTTAATGGTCTTGAAAGGTTTCAAGAACAAATCAAATAAACCTTATCGATCATCACTAGCACACGAGTTGAGGTTTACAACCTATCGTGTTGACATTATTTTGTTTCCGTGCTGTTTCCAATTGAGTTAATTATGTATGTGAGTTCTATGAGTTCTCATAAAATGCAAGGAACCTTGATTAATGAAAAGTATTTTGATAGGAAAAGGTGAGCTGCTTAACTACTTGGAAGACATGGTGGGCAGCTGTGCTACCATAAGGCAAGAAATCAAGATTAAGAAAGTTCGGTCCATATGAGTTTGAATTTGTCGTAAACTTTGGTTTTAACAAATTCACATGGATAGGAACACATACACCGTTTAAATCTAAGTGTCATAAGATTTCCTCCTTCATGAAAATGATTGTGAGGAAATGCTTTC